ATGTACAGGTACCTATGGAGGCCGGAAGAGGGTATCAGATTCCCTGGAGCTGCCTGAGCTCTGTCTGGTGCTCTGAAGTGCTGAGCCATCTCTCCAGCCCCTATTTATTATTTATTTATTTATTATTTTCATCCTTTGTGATGTAGATTGACCCTTGGGTCTCACATATCCTAGACAAGAGGGTTACATCTACAGCCCTCGTATTTTATTTATTTATTTTGATCTTTTGAGACAGGGTCTCCCTGTAGACCCAGCTGTCCTGGAACTCACTATGTAGACCAGGCTGGCCTTGATCTCACAGAGATCCGCCTGCCTCTGCCTCCTGAGTGCTGGGATTAAAGGCGTGTGCCACCACGCCCAGCAACCCTCTTATTTTTAATTAAAAATTATGGTTCTTTTATGTGTATGAGTGTTTTGCCTGCATGTTATCTAAGAGTACTCATGTTGTGCAGTGCCCTCAGAGGCCAGAAGAGGGCATCGGGTCCCCTGGAACTGGAGTTAGACTATTAACTGCCATGTGGGTGCTAGGACTGGAACTGAACCCAGATCTTCTGCAAGAGTAGCCAGTGCTCTTAAGTGCTGAGCCATCTCTCCAGTCCCCTTATTTTAAAATTTTTATTATATTTATTTCCTTGTTTGTGTGTGTGTGTGTGTGTGTGTGTGTGTGTGTGTGAGAGAGAGAGAGAGAGAGAGAGAGAGAGAGAGAGAGGAGCCAGAGGACAAACTGCTGCAGCTGGTTCTCTCCTTCCAACCTAGGGATCAAACTCAAGTTGTCAGGCTTGGTGGCAAACACCCTTAGCCACAAGGTCACCCCTCTGCCCCTCCAGCACCCCTTCTACTTTTTAGGTCAGGGTCTTCCCAGTGGCCTGGAACTTGAAATCCTCCTGCCTCAGCTGAGTGCTGAGGTGACGTGTGTGAGGCATGCCTGTCATCCTGTCAGAAGCAAGAGACAGAGACACAGCTCCCCAGTGCTACCCTCAACAGCAGCCTGCAGACTTCCCTAGACTTTTAGGAACATCAGCTCAGGCCAAACCAGGATCTGTGGCTTTGATGCCAAAAAAGAATTTCAGGACTAGCCAGTGTGTATCAGAGCTGGAGTTTTTTTTTGGGGGGGGGGGCTTTTTGAGACAGGGTCTCTCTGTAGCCCCAGCTGTCCTGGAACTCACTATGTAGACCAGGCTGGCCTTGAACTCACAGAGATTCACCTGCCTCTGCCTCCCGAGTGCTGGGATTAAAGGCGTGTGCCACCACCCCCAGCCAGAGCTGGAGATTTTAACATTTTATGTTTTTACATTTATTCATTTTGTGTGTGTGAATGCGGGGGGGGGGGGATCAGTATGTAGAGGTCAGAGGCCAACTTGGAGTGAGTTGATTCTGTCCTACTAATCCATGTGGATCCCAGAGGTTGAACTCAGGTCTTCAAGCTTGGCAGCAAGCAACTTTATCTGCTGAGCCATCTCTTTGACTCTAAAGATGTATTTATTAGGTGTGTGTGTGTGTGTGTGTGTGTGTGTGTGTGCGCGCGCGTGACAATGGTGGTGCACATATGAGTTAAATACCTGTGGAGGTCAGAGGACTTGTAGGAGTCAGTTCTCCCCTTCTACCTTGTGGCTTCTGGGAATCAAACCTAGGTCTTCAGGAATGAGTAGGAAGCACACTAGCATGACCTCCAACACACATACAAAGTGAACTTCTGAAAATGTAATAGATAAAAATAAAAGGGTCAGGAACATGGTTCAGTGGTAAAGTGTTTGCCTTGCCGTGTGAGGCCTTGGATTCCATTCCTAGCACTGTGACGCTGTGATCCACTCCATTTTGTTCCCTGTCTTCCATTTTGCTTCAGGCTAGCTCAGCCCAAGGCTGAACTTAGTTCCAGTAAGTCCCCTCCCCGTTAGGAATCTAGTTCAGTAAATAGCTGACCACAGAATGGAATGTCCCCACCCAGACATTGTAGCTCTGCTCAAGGAGAAACTAACCTAAACAATATCCTGCGTTTCTTAGCAATATACTGAAATAGTAATCACCAAAAAGCCCCTTGCCCTCAAGATTGAAAAGCTGTCATGGGTTACTACTGAAAAATTACACACACACAATATCTCCACATGAGCCTGTGAGTATAGCTGAAGACTGTATGACAAGAAACAGTGCCAGAGAAGAGAACCTTCCAGTTGTTGGCAATAGTAGTCCAAGAGACTCCTAAAATTACACAGGCTATTGCCACAATTGATTACACAATCAATTGCTATTGATTGCCTTCCAGAACTTGATGGTAAGACTATTGCTGAACACAGGACCTACTTCGGACACAGGATTTGGAGCAATGGAGCTGGAACTGACCTGGACACCAACTCCCCTGAAGGCTAGCTCTCATAGCTTTGGAGAGCACTACCAAAGCTGGTAAGGGAGAACATTAATGAATGGCCCAACCCCAGCTTCAAGGCCTAAAAACCACATCAATGACTGACCCAGCAAACAACACTGGTGCAGTAGTGGAACTTTCATCTTGGGGGTAATCAACAGCTACCTACCTAACTGGACTTAAACCCTCTCAATGGGAGGAAACTCGTGTGGTACTGTAAAGCTAGCCAAATACACATATCAGGAGAGGGCATAGATCTCAGAGAAAACCCCAAGGCTCTCCTATCCCTAGACAAATGTAATTTCTTGCTATGTGCAAATACACAGACGAGTATCCCAGTCACTACCCATCAAAGTAGCTTCTTTTTTAACAGACAGACATTATTACAGAGTCACACCACTGGTCATATACAGATTCTCTGTGAGTTGCCCAAGCCTAAGTGGCACATCTAGAATGTAACCTCTACACCTAAGACGCACAGAACATAGAACAAGGGATGCGGAGAACACTGATGCGGCTTTCAGTTCTCATCACTGAAGTTCCTCATACAGCAGAGGGCCGGGAACACAAAAGACCGCAAATGGCCAGAACACAGAGAATAAGGCTCTGCAGAGTGTGGGTCCTTGGACAGGACTCCTATTTGAGGTGCCCCCCCCGCCCCGCTCAGGGACCATTGTGGAAGAGGGGGCAGAAAGATTGTAGGAGCCAGGGAGGAGGTGCAGGACCATATGGGAAAGGTCCTACAGCCTCCTGGGACTCTTCTCATGTAAACCTACAGCAATGGTGTCAGCGTAGGCAAGATCCACGCAAACTTAGGCAGACAAAAACCCAGCAAAGATCTGTGGAAATGAACAGCAGGCCCAATCTTACTGGAAGAATTATTGGCAGCTGACTAATGCTGGGTGATCTTCTTGAAGGGGAGAGACTCTAAATAGGCTGACTAAACTCTGTTGATGAACTTGCACTGAGGGACATCTGGAGACACTAACTTTACATAATAGGCCTTAATACAAATGACAGAATGTATGAACTGCAGTGGGGGAGCTATGAGAGGGGGGCCAAAGGGAAAGAGTAATAGGGTATAAAGATGGTTTTCTGTATGAAATGCACAAGAATTCAATAAAAATTATACATATTTTAAAAAGATGGGCTGGAGAAATGGCTCAGCAGTTAAAAACACTTGCTGTTCTTCAGAGGACCCGAGTTTCAGCACCCACATCAGAAGCTCACAACTCCAGCTCTAAGGGATCCAATGCCCCCTTCTGGCCTCTGTGGGCACCCACATACATGTGGCATATGCCTACACATACACATAAAAAAAATAAATAAAAACAAATCTTAACACCCCCCCCAAAAAAAAACCTGTCATGGGGATGATTAACCTCTGCTTGCCTTGGCTTCCGTAAGCTCCCTTACTGCTATGTTCAGGGTCAGCATAACCCCACCAAACTTGTAGCTGCAAATACCAAAGAAATGAAGCAATTGTGGTTTCTGCCTTAAAAAATCTACTCCCTGCCTAGAGACGTACTGCAGTCTGAGTCTCCATTTGGAGACTGTAGTTGGCTGCAGCTTGATAAGATTTGGCTGACTGGAATAAACTCGAGTTTGGGTGGTCTTTCCCTGTGGTCCTGAACTCTGTAACAGCACCACAGAAAATAAAAGTCCATAATTTATAAGAACTTCAGAGCTTACTGTGCCCGTGAACCAACCTTCACCCATGGCTTCTGTTATTTAAATTAACAGCCGCACAGATCACGAAGTCCCAGAATTAGAACTGAAAGTGTTTTAAACTTCTTTCTCTTTGCATTTTTACTTATTTTTCTTTCCTTCTTTTATGTTTTTTCTCCAATATTTAAAAATCTTTTTATTAGGGTCTTGGGACTGGAAAGATGGCTTAGTGGTTATGAGCACTGGCTGCTCTTGCAGAGGACCAAGGTGTGGATCCCAGCACCCACATGGTGGCTAACAACCATCTGTAACTCCAGTTTCAGGGATCCGACGCCCTCTTCTGACCTCCTCGGGCATTGCATGTACATGGTGCTCTTACACACATGCAGGCAATACACTCATGCATGCAAAATTAATTAAAAACCTAAAAAAACGGGCTGGAGAGATGGCTCAGCGGTTAAGAGCACTGACTGCTCTTGCAGAGGACCCGGGTTCGATTCCCCGGGTGGGCATAACGGCTACGAACCGTCCTTAACTCCAGTTCCAGGGGAATCCGAAGCCCTCTTCTGACCTTCACGGCATTGCATGACATGGGTGCACTCACATACATGCAGGCGATACACTCATACACAGAAAATAAAATAAAAATTTAACAAAACAAAACTAGGGTCTCATGGAGGCTAGGCTGGGCTCGAACTCAAGGTCTTCCTCCCGGTCAGCCTCCCGATCGCTGAGATCACCTGCCCGCCTCTTTAGTTATTTCCAGGCCACTCCAGGCTCGGGAGACCGATGCTGCCGCAGGCCATTCGGGGAATTGTAGTCCCGAAGTCCGAAGCCGCGACTGTAAGAGCGGAGGGTGGTGGGTTTTGGCGGAAGTTCCCCTCTTTTCCGCAAACATCTCCCAACGCACCTAAGTAAGCCCGGCTAGTTTCCCACGCGATTGGGCCGCAGATTCTGCGCACGCGCAACAGCTGTTTTCGTAAGGCCTTCTAGGAGTTGTAGTCCGAGGCTGCCGGGCGTTCTGAGGCTTTCGCTGCCTTCGGAGTTTGCTGGGACCATGGATCCCGGGCCCGACGGGGCGCCGCTGGCCGGACTTGTCTGGTCCTCGGCGTCCGCGCCGTCACCGCGGGGGTTCACCGCGGTGAGCAGGGCGGGACGGGCGGGACGGGCGGGCGTGTAGGAGTCCGCGCTGACCCAGTGCCCCGCAGATCTCCCACACCGTGGAGGGCGCGCCCGCCTGCTTCGGACGCGGCTTCGCGCAGAAAGCTGGCTACTTCCTGTGCCTGAGCACGCTGGGCGGCCTGGAGGTGAGTTCCAGAGCAGGGAACCCCGGCCCCCGCCCTCCCCACAGTACCCCCATCTCCCCTGACCTTCCCCCCGACCCTCCCTTCACCCACCCCCATGACGTACCCCCACGGCCTTCCCCTGACCCATCCCCATGACCTACTCCCATGGCTCTCCCTTTCTCCCTTGACCCTCCCCCCAACCCCTCTTCTCTGACGCTCCCACTGGCCTTCCTGCCTCTCTCCTCTGCCTCCCGCCCCCTTCCCTCTCCCCTGCCCCTGCTGCTCATCATCCCTTCCATGGCCCTCCTGCTGACCCTCCTTTACCCTCCCACTGATCCTGCTGACCCCACTCTGTCCCCAGAACCCACAGGAGCCCGTTGTGGTGGACATTCAGGTTGTGATGGACAAGGGTGCCCTCCCACCCAGCTTCACTGTGGTCAGTGACCCTCTGGATGCCAGTAAGAGACATGGGCCCTATGAGAAAGGGATGGGCACAAGGGTGAAGGCCCTGGAACAGAACTGTGACTAGGTTGGGTAACATGGCACATGCCTGTCACCCAGCACTTGGGAAGTTGAGGCAGGAGGATGATTGTGATTGCCTGGACTACAGAGTCCCTGACTCAATGCTCCCCACCTCTCAAAATATAAATAATTGGGTGTGGTGAAATACCTGTCATCCAGCATTCCTGCTGAGGCAGGAGGAAGACTGGGAGGGCCAAGTGGACTCTGGAGTGAGGCCTCACCTTAGTGTCCCACAATCCTCAAAAAGCCCAGCATGGTGGGCATGCCTGTCACTCCAGCACTCAGGAGGTGGAGGCAGGAGGATCAGGAGTCCAGGGTCATCCTTAGCTACATAGTTCTAGACCAGCCTGGGCTACATGAGGCCCTGTCTCAAAACACAAATTAATAAATACAAAACAGTGCTGGGTGTGGTGGTGCACACCTCTAATCCCTGCACTCAGGAGATAGAGGCAAGTGGATCTCTATGAGGTTGAGGCCACCCTGGTCTACATAGTGAGATCCAGGCCAGCTGGGGCTACAGGGAGACCCTGTCTCAAAAAGACAAAAAATCAAAACAAGTATAAAACAAATAGAAACCCTTCTGCATAATACAAGCCTAGGCTGGATTTTTTTGAAAGAGCAGTACTTTTTTGATGCCTGTGTTACAGAACAAGGGAAAGTGAGGCTGGGGCACCAAAGTGGAGACCCAACTCTGAGTCTACACCACCCCACCATTATTCCTTCTGTCATCACGATCACACTGCTGCATGACTCTGAAAGACTTACTGCAGTCCACTCTGGAGACTATACCATTCATAATTTAACCACCTCCTAACACTGTCCTTAAACAGCCCCCTGGGGAATGGCATCCCATAGGCATCTATGGGTGCTCCCACCCCTGCTCCCCTCTCTCACCCCCTCCCCCGACTCCCAGAGGCCTCTGTATCCAAGAAGAAACGCATGTGTGTGAAGCTGATGCCCCTGGGTGCAGCTGACATGGCCGTGTTTGACCTGAAGCTCAGTGGAAAAACCAAGACCGTTCCCGGATACCTTCGAGTTGGGTAAGGTGACATGTATGCCCCCAGCCTTGCGATTCTGTCCCTGCCTTTCCTGCTCTGACCCTCTGACCCTCAGGACTCCCTCACATCCTCTTACCCCTTCATCCATGCCCTGTTTTGGAATGGGGACCCCCTGGCAGCCTGTAGTCAGTATGGTGGTTGGGTGAGGAACAAAAAAATCTCCCCAAATGGTGGTGACTCAGAGGGGCTGGGACCCGCTTGATTGGGCTGCACGGTGACTGTTCCCTCACCTCTTTCCTGTCCAGGGACATGGGTGGTTTCGCCATCTGGTACAAGAAAGCGAAGGCCCCAAGGCCAGTGCCCAAGCCCCGCACTCTCAGTCAGGACATGCGTGGCCTCTCATTGGACCCGCCCAGGTGAGCCCCAGGCACAGACGGGTGGTTGGGGGACCCAGAGCACCCTAACCCTGGTCATCACTGTCCCTACCCACCAGCAAGAACAGCCTCCCTGAGCGGACCCTGTCCAGGCTTGGCTCCCGGGCATCCACCCTGCGGAGGAATGATTCCATCTACGAGGCATCCAGTCTGTATGGCATCTCAGGTGAGCAGACAGCAGGAAACTGAGGCACAGAGACAGGAGATGTAGCTAGCCCAAGATTTTGCCCCAGGAAGGTGCAGGGCTGGGGCGGGATACAATCCAAACTATTTTTTCTTAGAGGTTCTGGGGTGAACTGGGGCCTTACTCTTGGCAGGTGCTGGGTTGGAAACCAGGGTCTTAGGCATGCTCTGCCCCTTCAACCGCAGCTCTGCATGCCCAGCAAACTAAGGGTGTGTTGGGTGAACTTTTTCCTGAGGAGACAGGACCAAGCACCCCCCTCAGATTGGGTATCAGTAACTGGCCACCAAGCCCAGCTTCGGGAACTGAGTTTTTGGGCTCACTTACAGAGCATGAGTGAGGGGTTACCTACAGGAGCACGGGTGACCCCAAAGGAACCTCACCACCAGAAAACCTCACCCAGTGTGGGTGCTGAGCTCCCTGTAGCTCTGTGGATGGAGTCCTTCAGTGAGCCCTTGTAGTTTGGATGAGGCTGCATGTACTTAGGATAAAATTATGTACAGATGGGACGTGCAGGAGGGAGTGGCTGAACCCCAGGTGAGGGTCCATGACGCCTCTTTCCCCTCCCCCGCCTTCCTTTTGACTGTCTGTCCCCAGTCAGCAGACCAAGCTCAGGGGTTTCCTGTAAGCTACTATGAGCTTGGAGAAAAGGACAATCCTGGCACATGGGCAGGGCACCTGGGGAAGGTTGCAGGTTGGCTTGGGATCCTCCTCAGCCTCCTGGTGTTTCATTGCAGCCATGGATGGGGTCCCCTTCACACTACATCCCCGATTTGAGGGCAAGAGCTGTGGACCTCTGGTGAGTCAGTACCCTGGGGACATGGGTCTGCTCCAGTCAGTTATCACTGACCCATGACCATGAACCTGCATCCATCCCCAGCCAGTACTGGTGGGAGAGGAATAGAAGCCAGTTGTGTTCCAGAGTGGAGGTGCAGGACCAGTTAGATGTGGGGAGCAAGGGAACACCTAGGCTAATTTGGGGTCCCATCCTGAAAGAGAGGAGAGTTAGAGCTAGGTGTGGTGCACACCTGTCATCCCAGCACTGGGAGGTAGAGGCGGGAAGATCAGGAGTTCAAGGTCATCCTAGGCTACATAGTGAGTTTAAGGCCAGCCTGGACTACATGAGACTCTGTCTTAAACAAAATATAAAACACATGGTAGCAAGATGGCTCAGTGGGTGAAGGTACTTGCCACCAAGCCTGAGGACCTGAGTTCGATCCCTGGGATCTCTGTGGTGGAGGGGAATTGACTCTTGCAAGTTATCCTCTGCCCACATGCATAGCTAGGGCACCCCCCCAAAACACACACACATGCAGACAAGATTCAGTTGAGATTCATGCCTTGCGCTCACACTCCCTGTCTGCCAGGCCTTTTCTGCCTTTGGGGACCTGACCATCAAGTCGCTGGCAGACATTGAGAAGGAGGTAAGTACAGGGTGACCAGGGGTGCCCCATGCCTCCCAGATACCCCAACTCCCACAAGCTGGACAGACCCTAAACCGTCCCATTCCTCAGTTACCCTGTGGTCCTCTGTCCCCTGAGCACTCCTCAACCTCCATCTCTACTTCCCCCAGTATAGCTATGGCTTTGTGGTGGAAAAGACGGCGGCTGCACGCCTGCCCCCCAGTGTCTCGTAGGAAGAACCACTTTGATGGCTGCCTCCTAGCCAGGCTGCTTGGTGACAGGGTCTCCCGCCCAGCCCTGCAGGGGTGGCCTCTGTGGATGGGGCCAGTGCCTTCTCCGTTTGTGTCAAACCTCTGGTGCCTGGATACTGCAGGAATAAACACTGCTTTGTCCCCTGGTTGGTCTTGTGTTTTAAAAGACGTTTTTCATTTTTTAAAGGTTTATTTCACGTTTATTTGTGTATCTTTGTGTGGGTCAGTGCATGTGTGTGCCTGGTACCCACAGAGGCCAGAAGAGGATGCCAGATCCCCTGGAACTGGAGTTACAGGTGGTTGTTAGCCACCCATTGTGGGTGCTGGGAACAGAACACGGGTCCTCTGTAAGAGTACCCAGTGCTCTTAACCGCAGAGCCATCTTTCTGGCCCCTTTATCTTGTATATTTTGGTTGGTTGTTTTTTATTTATTTTTATTTTATGAATGTTCTGCCTGCATGTAAGTAACTGCACCCATGCCATCCACTGCCCATGGAGGCCAGAAGAGGGTGTTGGATCCCCGGGAACTGGAATTATGGACAGTTGTTAGCTACCATGTCGATGCTAGGAACCTAACCTGGGTCCTCTGCAAGAGCAATCAGTGCTTTGAACTGCTGTGTCATTTCTGAAACCTCTTTATTGTTTTTGAGATAGGGTCTCATGTAGCCCTGGCTGGCCTTGAACTCAGCTGTGTAGCCTAGGGTTACCCTGAAGTTCTGAGCCTCCTGTTGTGGGTGTGCCCCCACCACCACTGGTGGACGATGCTGGGGAAGGACCCTAGGGCTTCATGCACGGTAGGCAAGTGCTGTGCCGACAGCTCATCCTTGTTTTTCTTTTTTGGAGGGTGGACGTTGAAATAAGGCCTCTCCTATATCCCCAACTGTCCAGGAACTTGCTATGGCCTCAAACTCAGAGATTCACCTGCCTCTGCCTCCACCTCCTGGGATTAAAAGCATGTGCCAACATGCGCAGATATTTTCCTATATATATATATTTTTTATGTGTATCTATGTATGAGTATGTTGTCTATACGTAGGTAGATGCACCATATCATGCAGTGCCCATGAAAGTCAGAAGAGGGTGTCAGATGGAACTGGAGTTAGGGACAGTTGTTAGCTGCCATGTGGGTGCTGAGAACCAAACCTGGATCCTCTTGCAAGATCAGTTGGTACTCTTAACCACTGAGCCATCTCTCTGCCTATATATATATATACATATATATATATGTTTTTTAATGTGTATGAGTATATTGTTCACATGTGTGTAAGTGTACCCATGTTGTGCAGTGCCCATGGAGGTCAGAAGGCATTGATTTCCCCTGGAACTGGAGTTACAAATGGTTGTTAGCCACCATATGGGTGCTGGGTCCTCTGCAAGGGCAGCCAGGGCCCATAACTGCTGAGCCACCTCTCCAGCCCCTATTTTCCTTTTCTAAAAAATATTTATTGCCTGGTGTGGTGGCACACGCTTTTAATCCCAGCACTTGGGAGGCAGAGGCAGGCAGATCTCTGTGAGTTCAAGGCCAGCCTGGTCCACATAGTGAGTTCCAGGACAGCTGGGGCTACAGGGAGACCCTGTCTCAAAAAGACCAAAAGAAAAAAATAATCTTTTTTTTAATGTTCATTATGTGCTAGTTTTTTTTATATTTATTTATTTATTTATATTTATTTATTTTTGTCTTTTTGAAACAGGGTCTCCCTGTAGCCCCAGCTGTCCTGGAACTCACTATGTAGACCAGGCTGGCCTTGAACTCACAGAGATCCACCTGCCTCTGCCTCCTAAATGCTGGGATTAAAGGCATGTGCCACCACGCCCAGCATTATTTTTATGTATATGAGTATATTGCCTGCATGTATGTGAGTGCACCCATCTGTGTTGTGCAATGCTGCAGAGGTCAGAAGAGGCCTTCGGATTGCTCTGGAACTGGAGTTAAGGACGGTTTGTAGCCCCCATGTGGGTGCTAGGAATCCAACCCGGGTCCTCTGCAAGAGCAGTCAGTGCTCTTAACTGCTGAGCCATCTCTCCAGCCCCCAAAATTATGTGTATGAATGTATTCCCTGCATGTGTGTAAATGCACCCGTGTCTTGGCAGTGCTCATTGAGGTCAGAAGAGGGCATCCAAACCCCTGGAACTGGAGCTACGGATGGTTGTTAACCACCATGTGGGTGCTGAGAATCGAACCCGGGTCCTCTGCAAGAGCAGATACTGCGCTTAATCCTTGAGCCATCTCTCCAGCCCCTATTTTTCTTTTCTTTTTTTCTTTTTTAATTAAAAATTGTTGACATTTTCTTGAGATAATCTCATGTAACCCAGCCATGGTGGCCATGAACTTTAAAAATGTTTTTATTTTCATTTCTTTGTGGGAGGGGTCCTCTTAGTGCCCCAGGTTGTGTGTGGCAGTCAGAGGAAATTAGTTCCCTCCTTCCTCCACATGGATCCTGGAAATTGAACTCATGTCTCCAGACTTGGCAGCAAGCACCCTCTTCAAAGGACATCTTATGTGGAGCATATGGTAATGCTGTCCCACCTACTACACTGTGGCAGTGTCTGGGCCAGGCATACCCTACCTACAACACACCCTTTTCTTGGTGTGAGAAACACCGATCCTCACTTATGAGTGCTGAAAGTTGCCAGGTATGGTGACGCATGCCTTTTAGTCCCAGCAGAGGCAGGCGGATCTCTGTGAGTTCAAGGTCAGCCTGGTCTACATAGTGAGTTCCAGGTCAGCTGGAGCTACAGGGAGACCCTGTCTAAAAAAAAAAAAAAAAAAAAAAAAAAAAAAATGCTGAAAGGGAAGGTTGTTTTCAGCCGGTCTGGAGTGGCAGGTGCTGCAGTCTGAACCCCAGGCAGGCCCTTCCTTCTCTTCACTACGCAGGGAGGAGGGCAGTCTTGAACCCATCACCCAGGTTCTATCTTCCTCTCAATAAAAACCCTATGTCGGGGCGGGAGATATGGCTCAGAGGTTAAGGACACTGGTTGTTCTTGCAGAAGACCTGGGTTTGAACCCCAGCACCCACATGGCAGTTAAAAACTGTTCATAATTCCATTTCCAGGGGATCTGACAGCCTCCAACACGGATGCACATACCTACATGCAGGCAATACATGCATACACATAAAATTAAAAAATAATAAAATATAAAAGGAAGAACCAATACTCTTTTGTACTAACATAGAAAAAGTCACCAATATAAGCCAGGCCTGATAATACAGGCTGGCAATCTGAGCTACTTGGGAGGCTGAGCAAGAAAGATCACAAGTTTAAGGTCAGCCTGGGCTACAGAATGAGTTTAAGGCCAGCATAACTTAATGAGACCTTGTCTTAAAACAAAACAAGAAAAAAAGGGCTGGGGCTGAGTTTAGGGGTAGACTGTTTACTTGGCATGTGAAAAGGACCTGGGTTTGATCTTGAGCACAGGAAAAAATAAAATCACTGATTTGTATGTGTCTGTGTGTGTTTCATTAGAATGCTGAAGACTGAACCCAGAGCTTTGCGCGTTAGACTAGCACTCCACCACCAAGCTGTACCCCCAGTATATACCTGGCTTTATTTATTTATCATTATTTTATGCATATGAGTGTTATGCCTGGATGTACGTAGGTGCACCCTTGTTATACAATGCCTGTGGAGGCCAAAAGAGAATGCTGGGTCCCCTGGAACTAGAGTTACAGGCAGTTGTTAGCCACCATGTGGGTGCTAAGAACTAAACCCGGGTCCTCTGCAAGAGCAGTCACTGTTTTTAACTGCTGAGTCATCTCTCCAGCCTCTTAGATATATTTTTACAGAAAAAATGGCAATGGGGTCAGATGTGATCATGCACACCTGTAATCCCAGTACTTGAGAAGTAGTGGCAAAAGGATCAGAAGTTCAAGGCCAGCTTCAGCTACATATCCAATTCAAGGCCAGCCTTGGGTACATTAGAACCGGTCTCAAAAAAGAAAGAGAAAAAAATGTAATGGAGAATATGCTTAGAATGCTAATATTTGCATTAGATAAAAAGGAAATAGAAGCTGGGGAGATGACTGAGTTGGTAAAGTGCTTGTTGTATAAGCAGGAAGATCTGAGGTAAGATTCCCCAGCACCCAGCACTGGGAAGGCAGACATAGGAAAATCTCTGGGGCTTGGTGGCCAGTCAGTTTAGCTGAATCAATGGGAAGGTTCAGTGAAAAGACCCTGTCTCAAAAACCAAGGTGAGAGCTGGGGGTGCTGGCATGGTGACGCCCACCTTTAATCCCAGCCCTTGGGAGGCAGCCTGGTCTACAAAGCGAGTTCCAGGCCAGCTGGGGCTACAGAGAGACCCTGTCTCCCCCCTCCAAAAAAACCCCAAAACCAAGGTGAAGGGGGCCAGAAAGTTGGTTCAGCTGGTAAAGGCACTTACTAACTATATAAGCCTGGCAATGTGAGTTTGATTCCTAGAACCTACATAAAAGTGGAAGGAGAGAATAAACTCCACAAAAATTGTTCTCTGACATGTGTGCCATGGTACAGGCCCCCGCCACCCCTATACATGTGTGTGTGCATGCATGCATACACACACACACACACACACACAGAGGAAATAAGTGGTTATGATAGTGGCACAGGCCTGTATTCTCAGCACAGGGACACAGAAGTAGAACTATCTCTAGTTTGAGGTTAGCCTGAATAATGTGACATTCTGTCTAAAAAAAAACATTATCTTCTCAAATTTACTATATAGTCTTGAACTCCTGATCTCCTGCCTCCACTTCCTGAGCACTGGGGTTACAGGTATATGCTACCACTCTTGACTATAATACATAGACTTAATATACACAAAACATCTTTGCAAAGATATGCAAGGAATTGGGCACCGAAACTGGAAACTGTTTGGGATCACTTTTCAGAGCATCTGGGTGTGACCAGGGGCCTCTGATGACCTGGATTTGGTTTTTTATTCTAAGGAGCCAGTCTGTCCTGTTGAGCCACACTCACCAGGGCATCTGGGTCTGGGGTCTGAGCCTGGCAGGCCTGGGACAAGTCTAGGGTGGTCCTGGGGTCCCAGGGGCTGCCCTGACCACAGGTCCTCATGAGCCAGCCACAGACAGCTCTCCTGTGCTCGTGATGGGCTCCGACCTCAGTAAGTCGGGGGAACTGGCTGCTGCTCCATGGATGGCCCTGACCTCTTCATACTCAGTTTCATTTTGTTATTTTCAGATGGTCTTATGTAGCCCAGGCTGGCCTCAAACTCACTAGGATGGCGTTCAACTGATTTTCCTGCCTCAGCCTCAGCCTCAGTGCTAGGATTCATCCAGGCACTCGCCACCAAGCTTGACACAAGGTGTCACTGTGCAACCCAATCTAACCTTGAACTCATAGCAATCCTCTGCTTCAGCCTCCTGAGTGCTGGGATCACAAGTGTGCTGCCACATGCCAGGCTAGCATGGATTTGTTTGTTGAGACAGGAACTTGCTGTGTATTCCAGGCTGTTCGGAAACTCGCAGCGATCCTCCTGCCTCAGCCGCCTACCTGCAGATGCTCTTATGGCTCTGTTGAGGTGAACTGATGAAGAGGAACTAAGATGACTTAGCTAGTTGTGGTGGCACATGGCTGTCATCCCAGCCCCTGGGAGGTAGAGGCAAGAGAATCCAGAGTTCACAGGCTATAGAGCCAGTTTGAGCCTAGGCTACAAGAGACCTTGTGCCAGGAAACCAAAACAAACAATGAAGAAAAAGCAAAAGAAAGGGAGAAACAAAAAAGTTTTAGCCGGGTGTGGTGGCGCACGCCTGTAGTCCCAGCACTTGGGAGGCAGAGGCAGGTGGATCTCTGTGAGTTCAAGGCCAGCCTGGTCTACATAGTGAGTTCCAGGACAGCTGGGGCAAACACCAGGTTCTGGTCATGACCGTTGGCCCAGGCAACTGTGTCCCCCACACGCAGATCAGATGCTTCTCAGCTGGCTGCTTGGCTCCAGCCAGCCTGGGCCTGGTCCCTGGAGACTGATGCTGAGATGAGGCCTTGGCTCCAGTTCCCATCCCAGGGCAGTGCCCACAGGCTTAGCCTGGCCTGTAGACAGTTCCCCAGCCCCTGGGGCTTCCTACTCAGAGCCTTCCTCAGAATTCCAGGGCTCAAGTTCAAGGTCTCAGGATGAGGAGGAGGAAGAGGCTGGTGAGGGCAGAAGATGCGGCAGTTAAGGAAGTGCTGAAACCAAGTGGGGTCATGGGAGGTGGAGGCAGGAGAAGCCAGAGTCCAGGGTCATCTTCAGCTACATAGAGTTCAAGGCCAGCCTGGGCTACATGGGAATGTGTTTGAAAAAAACAAAGACCTTGGGGCTGGAGAGATGGCTCAGCAGTTAAGAGCACTGGCTGTTCTTGCAGAGGACCAGATTTTTGAATCCCAGCACCCACATGGCAGCCAACAACCATCCATAACTCCAGTTCCAGGGGAATCTGATGTCCTCTTCTGACCTCTGTGGGCATTGTATGGGACACATACACTTACATATTTGCCTTATCACATATAAGCCTCTGGAGGGAAGAATGTGTGCTGGGGAGTCACTGAGGATTTTCAATTCATCACTGAGATTTTAGCCATGCTCTTGCTTACTCTAGCTCTCCATTGATGCCTGGACTCTGTGTCAAGTCTTCTTGGAGGTTGCCAAATGGAAAGTGTTCTGTAAATGTGTTCCTATTCAAACTGTAAAGTGACCAGTCAAGTTCCTAGTGTCACTCATACACAGAAAATAAAAATAATAAAATTTAAAAAAGAATAAAACACTTTATTTCTTGGTTTGTGCAAGTCAGGAGAGGGGTGGGGCCCCCTCCAGACCAGTGGGCCTTCGTGCTAAGCCCCATCATTCCCTACAGAAGCAATCTCCTGCCTCCACATACTTCCCAGCAACAGCAGCTTGGTATGATGATTAATATCAACTGGACAGAATCTAGAATCACCAAGGAGGCCTCTAGGCACATCTGTGAGGGAGTTTCTAGGCTGGGTTAACTGAGGTGGAAAGACCCACCCTGAATGTTGGGGCACCGTCCCATGGGGTCCTGACTGAACACAAAGGAAAACGTGAGCAGAGCGCCAGCACCCATCTCTCTGCTTCCTGACTATGGTTGTGACATGACCAGCCACCCCCGACTCCCACCACCATGACTTCCTGCCATGATGAACTGACCCTCCAACTGTAAGCCAGTATAAACCCTTTCCTCTTAAGTTGCTTCTGTCAGGGTATTTTATCATAGTGACAGGAAAAGTTAGTTACTTTTTAGTTAGAAAATCGGTACCAGGAGTGGGGTTGTCACTGTGATAAACCTGGAACTGTGATCCAAAATAAATCTTTCCCTTCTCATGCTGTTTTAGTCATGTATTTTGTCCCAGTAACAAGTAACTAAGACACACATGGCTAATGTGCATTGAGGACCTACTGTGTGCATTCTCCTGTGTCTCTTGTCAGCATGTTACAGACAAGGAAACTGAGGTATACATGGCTAATGTGCATTGAGGACCTACTGTGTGCATTCTCCTGTGTCTCTTCTCTTGTCAGCATGTTACAGACAAGGAAACTGAGGTACAGAAGCAAGATGCACTCAGCCTTTGATCCACAGTCAGGAGTGGGGGGGCTTCAGCCCTCCCTGAATATTCCCAACCTTGGGCTTACACACACACACACACACACACACACACACACATTTTCAAGCGTGCCCAGCTCCCCACAGAGAGGTGGGGAGTTGCAGTCTAAGACGAGCCTTCTCTCAGGAACATGGGGTAATAGGACCTGGGTGTGAATCCAAGCTCTGATGCTCAGAATTGGGACCCTTGGTGAGTCACAGTCCCCCTTGGAGCCTCAGTTTCCTCATCTGTAGAATGGACAGAGAACCACAGAGAGTCAGGACCCAAACCCAACCCTCCCCAACCACCTACAAAAGAGACTCATTTGCTCACATTCCTTAACATCCCTGTACCAAGGTCTGGTTATTTATGTTGTGGCCAGTGAGATGCAAGCAAAAGTTCCCAAAGCCTCAAAGAAAGCCTTCTAGAAAGAAACTTAGCTATCCCTGGCCTTTACAGATCTCTTTTAGTAAGGCAGTAAAAGGCTGGAACATTGGCAGTTATTTTGTATCAGGCAAACTTGACACAGGTTAAGGATCCCTTAGACTCTGGGGGAGAAAGCCCACCACTCCAGCAGTGGACCCTGGACCTAACTCTGCAGATTCATCTTGCCACCTTTCCCCAATTCCCAGCTCACACCAGTGTGGAATCCTTTCCCATGGCTGGTGACCTGTGGCCCAGCATGCTATGCATCTCATGAGTGGCTGCATCCCAGGAGTTGAAACCCACTGACAGTGTCCAGGGCCTGCAGGGGGCAGGCAGGCTGCTCTGGTGAGCTTCCCCCAGGGCTGCAAGTGTGGCAGCAGTGGCCATGGGCCCAAGGTAGTCCCCAGGCTCCGGGGAGGGGGTACAGAGGGTCAGGCAATGGGTACCCTGCTGGGGCTGAGCCGTACAGCCAGCCTTGGAGACTCCGGCAGGTCTGGTGAGCTCATCTTCAAAGGATGGTGGGGAAAGCTCCCGGAGACCCCGACGGGTGGCCTGGACAGCCCGGAGCAGAGTGTGGGTCAGCACTGCCACCAGGGTTAGGACACCGGAGCCTAGGATGGATGCAGCTGCCACACCAGTCTCGATCTCGAAAAGCAGCAGGGCATACATGGCTAGTGCTGAGGAGAGAAATGGCTCATTTATTCACTTAACAAACATTCACTCTCCAAGTCCGTGGGTGATCCCTCAGATGCATAGTAACAGCAGACATCCCTGGGCCATGACACACAGCTGAGTATATTGAGGCCCCTCATCAATATATCATCAGCCTGTCCATTTACAAACAGGGAAATCAGAGTCCAGAGAGGTTAGGGGTCAACTCCAGAGCCGCATAGGCTGGAAACAATACAGACGAGGTTTTACTTTTTTTTTGAGACAGGGTCTCCCTGTAGCCCCAGCTGACCTGAACTCACTATGTAGAACAGCCTGGCCTTGATCTCACAGAGATCAGCCCGCCTCTGCCTCCCCAGTGCTGGGATTAAAGCCATGCACCACCAAGGTGCTGTTTTTGAGACTGGGCCTGTAGAAGAAGAGAGCGAATGAGCATTACTTACAGAGGGAGCAGCAGGTATCAAGGGATATGAAGAGTATTTTAGACCCAGGCAAACTCAGTGCAGCAGAAACAAGGCAGGGTGGAGGCAGGGAGGAGGTAAAGGAGGAGCGAGAGATAAGGACCAAGTCATGCTGGGAACAGAAGCTCAGGGAGGAGTATAGCTTTTATCCCAAGAGCAGAGTGAAGGCAGGGGTGCGTGGAGCCCAGAGGGACATACGTTTGCTTTATGTTTTGTTGTTGTTGTTGCTTGATTTTGTGGTTAATTTTGTTATCCCTGTGAGTATGGGTGTGTGTGTGTGTGTGCATGTGCCAAAAACATGCATGTGGAGATCAGAGGACAAGTTTTTGGAGTTGATTCTCTCTTTTGCCCTTCCACTTTTTTAAAAAATATTTTATTTATTTTATGTGTACGTGTGTATTGTCTGCTTGTAGGTAAGTGCACCTGTGTCGTGCAATGCCCGTGGAGGTCAGAAGAGACCGTCGGATCCCCTGGAACTGGAGTTAGAGACAGTTGTTAGCTGCCATGTGGGTGCTGGGAATTGAACCTGGGTCTTCTGCAAGAACAGCCAATGTTCTTAACTGCTGAGCCATCTCTCCAACCCCTTAAATAATTTTTTTTTGGTCTTTTTTGAGACAGGGTCTCCTTGTAGCCGGAGCTGGCCTGTATTTGCTATGGAGACCAGGCTGGCCTCGAACTCACAGAGATCCGCCTGCCTCTGCCTCCCAAGTGCTGAGACTAAAGGCGTGCGCCACCATGCCCGGCTCTCTTCCACTTTTATATAGGTTCCAGGTATTGAATTCATGTCACCAGGGTTGATGGCAAGCTTGTTTACCCACTGAACCATCTCACTAACCTAGAACTTCTGGATTCAAAGGCCCTGGCTGCTGCAGACTCCAATCTGCCAGGATGCAAGTATGTTTGAGTGCAGTTCAGCCTGCCCTGGGTTTTGAGATGCCTCTTCAGGCTGAGGTCAGCTGAGCTTCACAGCACTTATCCAGTGTGCCCTAGACCTTGGGCACTGACATCAAAACAAGCGCCTCCAGTTGCTGGGGCTAGGGCACAGGGGGTGTAGCACCCACCTGGCACCCAGGATACCCTGGGGCTCCATCCCCAGCACCACATAAACCCATCACTTGAGAAGGGGAGGCAGGAGGCTCAGGAATTCAGGGTCATTCTTGGCCACACAGTGAGTTCTAGGCCAGCCTGGGCTACATGAGACCCTAAGATAAAGCAAAACAAATGAAAGAGGTACTGGGAAGCTGAAGAGATAATGGCTCAGAGGTTGAGCCCCAGCTGTTCTTGCAGAGGCCCTGGGTTCAGTTCCCAGCACCCATGTCAGGCAGCTTACAACCACCTGTATGTAACTTCAGCTCCAGGTGGCCTGAGCCTTTTTATGGTCTCTGCAAACACTGCACTCATGAGCATCTGCATGTACACATGTGCATGCATACTTATAACCAAAAAATAAAACAATTTTTTAAAGGGCTGGGCATGAGGGGCTGGAGAGATGGCTCAGCAGTTAAGAACACTGGTTGTTC